TGCTTTGGCGATTATTTTTTTTTTTATTATTTCTCGAAACATAATTGATCTTCAACACTATGATAAATTTGGTGCGAAAAATTATCATCCATACGCTGTTGTTTAAACACCCACTCACTATATTTTTGACGTATTGCACAATCCTTATTATAAAATGGCAAGATAATACCTTGAATGACAGTTCTGTTTGACATATGTCTCTGAAACAGTGCTGCGTAATCAGGACTTGCAATTGTATAACGTTTCTTGATAATAGTTTATTATAGACGTATCAATTTAATAAATAAAATACACAACTCATCACTACATGTTAATACGAAAATATTTGTATAACTAAATAATATATCAATAGTTTAAAAATATCCATAATTTAATTAAAATTTTATTATTTCAAATTTTTTAATCCAAATTGATAGTTAAATCATTTTTGACAGTCGTTAAGCAGTTTCAAAAAATTTTAACACCACAAAGTGCTTGACTTGTCAATTGCAAAGCGCGGGTTTTGACAAACCAAACTACTTTTTTATTTGAATCAAAAAACAAAAAATCAATGCGTGGAAATATCAAATGGCTCTATGAATCGGAATGGCTCTATGATTTTTATGTACATAACGACAATTTATGGGATTTTGGTTTTTATGTGGACTTTAAAAATTGATTTCAAATTTATGCAAACTTTAACCGCACGTGTAAACTTGAACTGAGCAGTTTTTCAGCCAGAAAGTGTAAATTTTTTCAAGTTAATTTACTTTTTTGTTTACACTTCAAACGCAGAAGCACTAAAAATAAAATTGTTTATCTTTCATTAAAAACATAAAATTCGTAAATTTACGGACCGAAGGCCCAGCTGCGTACAACGCACAAATGTTGAGGAAAGCTGAACTGCAAGTAAATTGTGGTAAAATTGCTGCACTCAAATCCCACACACGTTCGGCTGGACATGCTTTTGGATCTGCGGAAAAATTAATTTAGCAGCATCCACCATTCCAGACGTGGCTCCATCTTCTCTCCCAACTGTCATAGAAAAATGTTGTTTGATTTCATAACAAGGAAAACAATTATTTTAAAATGAAAATGGCAATGTTGTGTAAGAAATTGTGGCATAATTTAAACACAGAAAATAAAAAACAAAAAATAAAAAACAGAATCTGAAATGCAAGTAATGTTTGCACAAAAATGTATCTGAAACGTGCACTACTTTCACAGCACTCCTCTCTGCAAGATCGTGGGAAACAACAGTAGGTAGCTCAAATTTTGAAATGATAGATAATAGCATTAAAATTCCATTTCGGTAAAGCCATCACTGAACTGATATTTGAAACATTTTAGATATTTTTGCAAAATTTACAAAAAATATATGTACGGAACAGTATTACATTAACTTCAAAACATTAACAAAAAAAACAAACAACACCGTTATGAGCTGAAAAAATAAGTTTTTTTTAAAGAATTTCAAAACCATTTAAGTTGAAACTAAGAACACAATGAAAAGTTATATACGAGAAGTATAGAGCAAAGAAAAAGCTTATCACGTTATAAGAGATAACTTGATACTCGTATATTACTTATCAGAATCAATTTCAAAATGTAAGTGAAGTGAAAATGACAGCTTTAATTCAATTCCTTTAAACACAAAGGATTCATTTTGTAGATACGCCTGTAGGTACGTACAAATAATCTACTATGGAGATTAGATAGTAAGATATCATAATTCATATTCCAAAGAATAATGAGTTACTTTTATACTCAACGTTTATATAGGATGAGAACAATCCATAAGAACAATCCATATCGATAACTATGCTTTGACAGGTGAGATTATCTTACTATATTGACATTTCTGTTCAGTAAGATTTGACAATTCATCATGAATTGCTACAATAACGCTTTTAAATTGTGGAAATTAACTTTTACAAAAACAAATCTGTTCATAGAGCACTTCACCCATTTTACAGTCATCATAATCAGCTTAGATGGCTACGTGAATACGCAAACTTACCGTATATGGAGCGAAGACAATCCTTAAGCCGTTAAAGAGTCACTATAACATTCATTAAAATTGACTGTTTGGCGCGATTTACACGCTGGAGGCATTATCGCTCCTTATTTCTTTCGAAATGAGGAAGAAGCTGTCGTTACGGTGAATGGGGAGCACTATCGAGCCATGCTGACTGAATTTTTGTTTTCAAAATCATATCTAATCAGTTAAACATCGTCGATATTTGGTTCCAACAAGACGGCGCAACTGGCCATAACAACAGGACCATTACTTCCAAAAGTGATCCTGTTAACTGGCCCCCTCATACGTGGGATTTAACAGCTCTCAGTAACTCTCGAAGTATTAAAAGCGAATGTTCATGCCATCATTGACGCTATACGGCCACATTTATTGCAAAAAATAGTCAAAAATTGTACTGATCGAAAAAATAAATCCCATAAAATTATCTACCAGATTCCAACAATATATCTGTCTTGTATTATCATTTTAAGCTGTCATGATATAATGGCCAATAGGTGGCATAATAATGTTCGGCAATAATACCTATGAATTGCTGTCAAACAACACTGACCAACCACGTTGAGCTTATTTTACTGTTATTATGTTGAGGCTAGTTGAGTGAGTGCACCTTAGCACTTTTACTCTCTAATAACTGCGAGGTTTCTTCAAAACCCCTCTTTGTGCCTTGACTAGATTATTGTTTATCATATCATCAGACTAAGCAATAATTGACCTCAGCTTTGCACAGTCTCCCCGAGGAGCCTGTAACCATTCTGAGATTTGATAACGCGGTGTTGGTAAGACTTAGATCCGTATTAATTTCTTTTGGTCTAATACTTTTAGATTAATTTGCATTTACTAGGCATCATCATCTTACTATTAATAAGATAGCATTTATAATTATATATTCTATAAATTAATATATATTCTTATATATATATTCTATAAATATATATTCTATATTCTATAAATATATATTATATATATATATATTAATATATATTCTATAAATTAAATTAAATTTTGAATTATTAAATATTCTTACTGCTAAAATATGTAACTATGTATGTACTTGTTAAAAATAATAGCTAATTTTTCAAAAAAATTAATTTTCCCTGGAAATACATACATTTTATTTACTAGAACTTAAAGAAATTATTTATCACACCCATTTCTTTAGGGAATTAGTATCGCCATCTCCATTCCAAATAATATTTTGTCACATATATAATTACTAGTACTCGTACTACCACTGAGGTACTTTTGTATTAGTTCAATGTACATCTATCTAACAAAAAAAAAACTAAAATATTTTTAAAAATTGTTGTGAAATCAGGTTTCAGTTATTGCACAGTTAATCATTTGGAAAAAAATTAAATACATTCAACCGAATAAATTAAATAAATTATAATCATTAACTTGATTCATTAAACATATTTGTAATTAATTCGTGGTATTGTTTATAATTAAATGCAAAAAAAAAAGCTATTGTTTTAAGTGATTTTGGGAATTTAATTTAATGAGTGTATAATTATTTCACAAAATATTTTCTTTTTTACATTTTCTATGTATATTATTTTAAAATTATTCATTATTCAAAACATTTATTTTAAATTTAGAAAACGGAATTTCTACAGAGTAATGCTTGCTAGTACTCCCAATTAATATAATTGGATTATTTACATACGACAATACTATCTCTAAAAGGCAGTAAATGTGCTGAGAACTGAATTCGAGTCAGAACTAAAGACAATGTAATCATATCTGTTAAATAATAGTGTATATTGTGCAGTAATAGAGTCGTTTTCTCATAGATATTAAGTTGCCAAACTCACATTTCAAATGAATTGAATGGATAAATACATTGAAATAAATATGTAGTATATAGTACAGTTCTACATTGGGTACAATGAAATAATTACTAACATTTTATTTTTAATAAAAAAAGGTAATATCTTTGTCAAATTATTTTAAATTTCATTTATTTATTATATAATATATTTATTTATAACATAATATAGCTATAAAAGCAATACTATATCTGAGGGATAATAAATAAATGGATGCAGACACCTTCGACTTTTTGTTTAAAAAAAATGTTTGAATTAAAAAGTTGATGATGTTGACTCATAAAAATTAAAATTTATATCTGTAAGGATTATAATACAATAGGTATTTCAATAAAAATGGAATGTATACAGGGGATATCGAAAAACAAAATATTCTAAGTGGAGTTTTGATAACAAAATATGCCATAAATTTGCAAATGGATTTGATATTTATGAGACTAGATTGAACCAAATGAATGGGAACTGACTTCAAAATAACGCTGACTTTGACTTAAACAAAAGTAAAAGTTAAGGATATATGTAAAGTATTCATATGGGACCACTGCCGAAGTTACAGGATTCTTTTTCTTCTTCTTTATTTGCCAATTCGATTTCGAATATTGGTGATCATATAACATATCATAATACTATATTGATTAATTATAACATAATAATAATTATAACATAATAACATAACATAATTCTTAACATACATAATGCAGGATTCTTAAGATTTATCATTTAGTAGCTGTTTCTAGAACACAAAAGGTTTGTTTATTCTTAGACTCAAGAGTATCGTGAATAGTTTCTACGGAATAGATCCGGAGAATGTAGCTTTGTGCTATTAGAAGTAAAGCAATGAAAACAGTGTTATAATTCTTCCGAAATTGAGTACTGATTACTTGCGTACGTAGAGAATAATAGACAGGATTTTAATTTATTAGGAGTATTCATATTAGTTTCATATTAGCTGTTTCTAGACACAAAAGATTTGTTTATTCTTAGACTCAAGAGTATCGTGAATAGTTTCTACGGAATAGATCCGGAGAATGTAGCTTTGTGCT